AAATTTTGGATTCTCTCTTTAACAAACAAGACATGATGTTCCGAGAAAGATTCACTAGTCCGGTGATGCATTTGCTAGAAGAACCAGCTCGGTTACGGTCATTATGGAGAACACACAAAGCACAGAACTCTGTTGGATTCCCTTATGGCATCTAAGATGGTGAGAACTCTCAATCAAATTCTATTGACATTTATTCTGGATACTTGGTGAATTGGTGATCATGCATGTACTTGTCATGCAAACCTCATGTTTAGGTGATAAATGAGACTGTATTTCTTATGTTTGTTTGAAGAGTCTGGTGGCTTGTACTCATGAATGTAAGCAGGAGAGGGCCAATATGTTATTTTGGGTTGGGAAATTAATACCTAATATATTTTATTTTGGTGCCTTAAAAATATTGATGTAGCTCTAGTCGTCAGATAATGTGAGTGATTGAAGTAATTGAAATTCTTTGTTCTTCTATCTTTAGTCATGTTCAGGGCCATGAATTTATTTACAATCCCATGCTGATGACTAAAGAGCTCACAGCACAACATTTTTCACCATGTATTCCAAGCTGTTGATTCAGATAAAAGAAGGCATTCATCATCTCGGAATGGAAGCACATCAAGGAAGGCTCTTCTGTCAAGCAGCCGAGGTTCTGGAGATCCTAGTGACCCAAATCACAGTAGCCACCTAGTCCCGACCACCACCACCACCAGCCGTCCATCAACTAATCAAAGGCTTCACCAGTCAACTGGACTTGAGGGCTGGACCTCATCATTTCCAAAACCGGGAAGAATCGGCCATGATGATCCTACTATGAGGAGTTTTGAGCGCCTTACTATTAGCGTAGAGAGGAGGAAATGAATCTTTGGAAGAGCAAAAGATCTGAGCTGCTCCCACTAGCGAGTATACTGATTCACAGAATATCCATTTGGTTCTAGATGATGCTTACTGATGAGCAAGTTAAATGATTCTGTGCTGTGCATGATGATGAGCTCTGCACATAGCGGTGCTCGTCGAATCTTGGCACAGATGATTTCAGTCCTGCACATAGCTTTAGTCATAACCAATTAATACAAGACTTGTAGTATGTCTATACATGTCTGTAACTGACTAATATATATCTTGGACCTATATGGCTCTATGTACTATGATCATCACTTAACCTGCTATATATATATATATATATCAAGTTGGTGTATGTATGGAAGATCTAATATATTATTTATACAAAAATCAAGTGAATTTATTCAATGTGATGCCTTCTATATGAGCAAAAGTGGATTTGTCAAATTATTTTAATTGTAATTATATCTATGCAGTTTTGCCGACAGTTTTTTTTGGCAGGGTATGGTTTATAAAATACCTTGGAAATGGTTTGGCCAACATACAAACTGTCGGGAAAGGTCTTAACTGTCGGCGTAGGTCTTAACTGTCGGCAAAGGTTTCAACTGTCGGTATAGGTAGACCATTTGCCTACACATAAAGTGTCGGGGATTCTGTTAACTGTCGGCAAAAGTTTCGCCGACGGCTTCTAGCGCGACTGTTTCTAAACTGTTAGCAAAACTTTTCGTGGGAGGTTATCTGTCGGCAAAGGTGCCCTTTGCCTACAATAGAAAGTGTCGGCAAAAGTATGTTGTGTTATAGTGGGACCTCATCTTTGGCCGTGGAGGCATTCGGAGACCTCTTTTATAACTATAAGCAATGGTGGTAGGTGGGACCAACGGTGGAGAATCAGTGATTTAATAGTTAGGTCGATCCGATGACAAAAGAAAACTGATGGGTCAATACAAAAACCGGCAGTGATATGAAAATGTCACTACTGGGTAGTGGCTTGACCAGACATGGATATATTATTGCCCTGCCAAAGCATGAGCCGGCAGTGATATACTATAGCCATCACTGCTAGGTTGTAGCTTCAACTAGCAGTGATATATCGCTCCTGGTTGGTGGTTTGGCCCGGCAATAGTAGGTGCCACCATTGCTAGGTGAATAGCTTCCCGCCAATTTTCTGGATCCTAGGCTTACGATCCAACGGTAATAAGAAATCATTGCCGACTTTAGGACAACTGGTAGTGATGCTCTGGCAGTGATTGCGTGTTCTGTCGTAGTGTTACGTTTTAGACTTCTAGCGTGTTCGGTTATTGGAGATTTTTTGTGGAATGCCAGATTATTTCATTTTGATTGTAGGTTTTTTTGCATCATTGGATTATTGTAACGGTAAATTGAAACATTATATAATTCTCATATAGATTTGTTGAACATGAAGTGGAGTGATGATATTGCCTCTCTTTTTCAACATAATTTTGTGCCATATGGAAGATCAGCAACCAAATAAATGATGATCACTTTAGAAGAGAAGTCTATTGAGTCATGCTAAATTAGTCATGAGCTTGATAGTCGGTTCGATGAGTTAAATATGGAGTTGTGTTTTGGTATGACTGCTTTGAGTCTAGCTGATTCCAATTTGCTTCTTGACGCAAACAAGTACTACCCTAGAACAGCACATCACTACCGGTTCTAGAACCCTATCACTGCCGGTTTTTGGAATCAGCAGTATGAATCGGTTCTAGAACCGATAGTGATGAGGTTTCCATGAAACTAAAAATATATTCTAAAAAGAGCAATTTTTAGTACTAGGAGAGACCCCACTAGGCAGTCACAAGTCAAGCGATTTTTTCGCGCAAAAAATGCTCGCGCCGCGGCCTCCGACGCTCAAACTCACGACCTCAGCCTTTGCGCATTCGTCCCCTAACCACTCCACCCATAAGACACCTGTTCATCTGATTTTGAAATGAGTATTTGGAGCTCTAAACGAATTCAAATCAAAAAGTTGTCAACTATAAAGTTTTATAACTTTTTGAGATCTACAACTTTGGTTTTGGTCATTTCTCCATCCGAGGTTGATTGAAGAATTTGAATTTCAAATGTGAAGAAATTCAGCCATAATTTTCCTTGGATAGATGATTTCAAATGTAAAAGTTGTCAACTATAAAGTTGCATAACCTTTTGAGATCTACAACTTTTGTTTTGGTTGTTTCTCCATTCGAGGTCGTTTGAAAAATTCAAATTTCAAATGTGAGAATTCAAATGTAATTTTCGTTAGATAGATCATTTCAAATGAAAAGGTTGTCAGCTATAAGTTGTATAGGTTTTTGAGATCTACAACTTATATTTTGATCGCTTCTCCATCCGAGATTCTTAACTACCACTACACACACTTAATGACTATAGAGCATATGGATTCCTTTGGTATTAACTTCTATAAATCTTGTGAAATAAATATTTTGGCATGAAAGCGACTTTAAATAAAAAAAAGTTGTGGACTACAAGTTGTATAAATTTTCGAGATCTACAACTTTTGTTTTGATTGTTTCTTCATTTGAGATCCTTTTCTACCACTATACACTCACTTGTGACTTTAGAGCATATGGACTCCTTTGGTATTAACTCTATAAAATCTTGTGATACATATTTGGATATCCAAATGATCTCAGTTCAAAAAAGTTTAAAATATAAAGTTGTAGATCTCGTAAAGTACTATAACTTTGGTATGAAGTTCGTCTTCATCGGATATCATATGAGAAAGTTGTGAAGTTTTTCGTACAACCTATCACTGCCGGTTCAAGTCAAAAACCGACAATAGTGACCCAAATATCACTGCCGGTTGGTCCTATCAGTGCTGTTTTTTTGCTTCAACCGGCAGTGAAACTCAGTTCTATAGTAGTGAAGGTACACAGACTTGCTAAATTTTATCCTAATGAATTTTCAAGCTCTAACTTGTTCAGGCTTGACTTGCAACTTGAAACCTGTATTGTTGACATGAGAAAATATGAAATGTTCAAAAACCTAAACAATTATGTTGACCTCTTAGTAAAATTTGTTGAAACAAAGAGAGATAAAGTTTATCGTTGGGTCTATTTACTTATCAAACTGGTATTGCTTCTACTGGTGACCTCCGTAAATGTTAAAAGCATATTTTCTACAATGACCTTTATCAAGAATAGGTTGACAAATAAGATGGGTGATAACCTTTTGGATGATTGTCTAGTTGTTTTATTGAGTGGGATACTTCCTTACAATTGAGGGAAGAAAGAGATAATCAACACATTCATGGCTATTAGAAGGCGTAGACCGGACATGAAGTAGCGCAATATTGTTCTTCCGCAATTATGGGTATGTAATATTTCAATTCTACAATAAGCAATCTAAACTTGTCTATTTTATGATGTTCATATGCTGTCTTTAGCTTAATTATATTGTATTTTGTAGTTCATATACTTCTATACCGACATGCTCAATTTATAGTGGTTACAAAAAAATAAACACTAGACCACCGTACCTATAAATCCTGGCTACGCCACTGCCGGGAAGCATATTTGGTAGGTACTACAGTGCTTACTATTTGTACATTGGTCATTCACCACTTGCATAGCTTAAATATCACACAAAAAGTTTTATATTAATAAAAATATTCAAAACTGTGACAAAGAACACATCAGCATTGTATCCCCTCATTAGCTAAGTTGGGCTGTGAGCTTGTCGCCCTGTTCACTTGACTTATAAGTCGTACTTTTTCAGCCAACGAACAATATTTTTCTCTCACAATAAATCAGCCAATAGTACTTTCAGCCATGGCTTATCAGCCAAGCGAACAAGACAATGTGACATCTGCCGTAGTTTATAACCAGTAGTTGAAACCAACATAACACAACTTGAGAGTGCTGGTACCACAAAAAATATCTTTAAATATTACTATTTAGAACGTTACAGTTGTGGAGCGTTACAATCAATTCAGAAACAAATAAATAAATAGGTTGAGGGCGTAATAAGTACATCAGTTACTTACACCATACCCACTATACAAATAAAAGACACTTAGACTTGAAATGTAGGAGTAGCTCACACGATTCTTTTTCTCAAGAAAAATATATAGGGGGGCAATCTTGGCACAGTATGCAAGCATCATCAATCAGTGCCATCATGAAGCATACATACCATACCCCAGTGCTGAGTCACCTGGAGTGCAACGCGCTTTTGTTGTGACCTCCCAGTAGGCTAAAGATTATGATGTAGGGCCAGAAGAGATAGACCATGTTGACAATGAATGCAGTTGTTAACTTGAGCAGTGGCGCGGCGCCTCTCCCTCTCCCTCTCCCTAGCACGATCACCGTGTCAATGAACAGCAGCCACAAGAAGCGGACTGCGTCGAGCAACACAAGCGCCGTCATCGTGGCCGTGGCAATGGCGGTTGCCGGCTCCACGGGAGAAAGCAGCAGGTAGAGCGCAAAGGCGAAGGCGGCGCAGAAGCTCCTCGCCGCGCCGTTGAGCAATGCGATCGAGATGGACACCAGCTTGATCCGCTTCTCTATGTCGACTGCGGCCATCCCGCAGTAGACGAGGCTGAAGGTGGCTATAGCGGAGCAGCTGAAAGCTAATGTGTTGGCGAGAATAAAACCGTCGAAAGCATATTTCCCGGCCAGTATCGGTGTTCCGATGGGGTAACCTGGAGATGGAGGAGATGGAGATGGAGACGAGCTAGTGCCGTTGCCATCAGTCCTCACTCCACCGGGCAATTGGAAGACTACCGCGAATGTCGCCGTCGCGACAAGCACCGTGCAGATGCCGACGATCTGTGCAAACTCCGTTATCTTCTTTGACTCTTCGGCCTTGTCTAGCTTCGGGACGTGCTTTTCTTTGAAACGATCGCGGCGACTGTTCCCATTCTGAGCATTTACAAAAGTCAGCGTGCCAAGAATCCTACGCTGTGCATGCTGCGAGACCAAAAAAGAAAGACAGAAATTTACCCTCAGATCTGAATAAAGAGATGGAGAATAAAGAGTAGTCGAACTGGAGTATTTACCATGCCGAAATAGAATCCTGGTGGAGCTCTGCTCTCGGCAAGATCCATGGGGGTTTTCCCGTCATGATTGGGCAAGTTGAGGCGAACATGTGGGTTCATCATCAGAGTCTGGAATATGCACAGATGTCCTTCAAGGATAGCAAGATGCAGAGCAGTGTTCCCTCGGCTGTCCTGTATATTCAGGATCGAGTTGAACTCAGGTCTCATGCGCACAAACTTGACGATGTTGTGGCTCCTCTTCTCCACAGCGACATGAAGGAACGTCCTTCCCAGAGAGTCGCGCAGCCCGCTGCAGCCAGGGCACCGTATGAGCAAGATGATGACGGCGACAAGGTTGCCCGCCGAGGCAGCGACGTGAACCGGGAACAGCCCATCGTTGTCACGCTGGAACGCCGACGACGGATCGGCATGCACCAGCTGGTAGAGGGGAAGGTTCAGGTAACTGTAGAATCTGGTTAGCCAATTCGCCGGCGCAAAGTAGATGCCCAAGGAGTAGAATTCCAGGGTCCTCTCCATGAAGACGTAGAGGAAGAATTCGAGGGAAGGATCATCAGCTGACGCTGCGAAATGCGTCGGTGTGCTTCCAGAGAGGTCCTGTTGTTTGGTCAGCTCCATGTTCAATTTAAGTAGCGCTTGTGTCATCTCTGCATGTATAATAATTAATTATTAATCAGTCAATCGTTCTGCATATTAAAAAAATCAATTAGTCGACCCTGAAAGGGATATATACCAAACTAGTAGACTGCAGTACAAATAGCACAAAATTCTAATCTACCTACTATACAAAACATTTTCAAACAACAAATAAGATCCAAAACTCATAAATCATGATAGATGTATAATATTTAATATGTATGTGTCATATAACCATCCCATTAATGACTGCTACCTTGGAAAATTTTAAGAGTTTAGAGTAGTTTAAATGTATAAGCTAGATATTTATCTAAGATATTCCATTAAAGGCATTTTAAAAGGAATGTAAATGTTCTGTTCAAAACAAATGCATATGGCCTCTGTTTTATGTATCTAAAGCATTCTATAAATAAAACACATGTATAGAATATGAACCTGATTGATAACACTAGACCACTCCGTGGTACTACCAGTAGAATCTTATAAAATCAATGACCCAATTTGACTTTCAGTTTAGCACAAAAATAACATAATAATATTATTTTATGGATTACTCCCTTTGTCTGGAAATAAAAAAGCATATTTTGTACAGGGAAAAAATAAATTTTACTAGTTGAGACCAATAATTAGTTAAATTACGTACAAGTTTAGCACACAAAATTTGAATCAATAGATTTGTATTCAAAATGTTTCTGGTCAAAATATTTGGATCAATAGATTCCATTTTAATTCTTTAGTAACCCAGTGCAGAGAGCTCCCGCTCTGTGCGGGGTCTGAGGAAAGTGGCAAGCCTTACCCTCGCCTGTGCAATGCGAGGAGACCACGACTCGAACCCGGGACCTTCCGATCACAGACGGTAAGACTCTACCGCTTACCACAGGCCCGCCCTTCATTTTAATTCTTTAGTAAATGAAGACATATTGTGAGAGAAATTGAGGATCAAAGTATAATCTGTATGACTTTGTCCTGCTCAAAATGTGCTTATCACTACTGGAAACCGGTGATTTGCCGAGTGCCGGAGGCTTTGCCGAGTGTATTTTATCGGGCACTCGGCAAAGACCGTGTTTGCCGAGTGCCAGAAAAATACACTCGGCAAACAAAAACACACGGCAAAATACGTCTTTGCCGAGTGTTTTTTTCTGGCACTCGGCAAAGAGGCATTTTGCCGTGTGCATTTTTTTGGCCCTCGGCAAATCAGTTTTTCGAAGCAATTTTTGAGGCCCTAAATGAATTCAAATGAAAAACTTTTACTACAAAGTTGTATAACTTCTCAAGATCTACAAAGTTTATTTTGGTCATTTTTTCATTTGACAAAGCGACAATAACGTTGTTCATAAAATCTACATCACTCATATATCTCATATTAGTTTCATGAAAGTAGAAGACAGATATATAAGATTTGTGAACAATGTTACTACCACTATGTCGGATGAACAAATGACCAAAATAAACTTTGTAGATCTTGATAAGTTATGAAATTTTGTAGTTGGCAACATTTTGATTTGAAATCATCTTGTCATGCAAAAACGACGTTTGAATTTGAAAATTTTAAAATTTGAATTTTTCAAAAGACCTCGGATGGAAAAACTTCCTAAATGAAAATTGTAGATCTGCAAAAGTTATGAAACTATGTAGTTGACAACTTTTTGATTTGAAATCATCTTATCATGCAAAACTACGTTTGAATCTCTCAAATTTAAAATTCAAATTTTTCAAACGACCTCGGATGAAAAAACTTACTAAATGAAAACTGTAGATCTCAAAAAGTTATGAAATTTTGTAGTTGACCACTTTTTTATTTGAATTCATTTAGGGCCTCAAAAAAGCAATTTACTCTCAGTTTGCCGAGTGCCTTTTTTCTGGCTCTCGGCAAATCCGTATTTTGCCGAGTGCCTATGTTTTGGCACTCGGCAAAGAGGCATTTTGCTGTGTGCATTTTTTGGCCCTCGGCAAATCAGTTTTTCGAAGCAGTTTTTGAGGCCCTAAATGAATTCAAATGAAAAACTTTTCAACTACAAAGTTGTATAACTTCTCAAGATCTACAAAGTTTATTTTGGTCATTTCTTCATTTGACAAAGCGACAATAACGTTGTTCATAAAATATACATCTCTCATATCTCTTATATTAGTTTCATGAAAGTAGAAGAGAGATATATATAATTTGTGAACAATGTTACTACCACTATGTCGGATGAACAAATGACCAAAATAAACTTTGTAGATCTTGAGAAGTTATGAAATTTTGTAGTTGGCAACATTTTGATTTGAAATCATTTTGTCATGAAAAACGACGTTTGAATTTGAAACTTTTAAAATTTGAATTTTTCAAAAGACCTCGGATGGAAAAACTTCCTAAATAAAAATTGTAGATCTCCAAAAGTTATGAAACATTGTAGTTGGCAACTTTTTGATTTGAAAATATCTTGTCATGCAAAACTGCGTTTGAATTTCAAAATTTTAAAATTCAAATTTTATAAACGACCTCGGATGGAAAAACAACCAAAATAAACTCTGTAGATCTTGAAAAGTTATGAAACATTGTAGTTGGCAACTTTTTGATTTGAAAACATCTTGTCATGCAAAACTGCGTTTGAATTTCCAAATTTTAAAATTCAAATTTTGTAAACGACCTCGAATGGAAAAACTTCCTAAACTAAAAGTGTAGATCTCGAAAAGTTATGAAACTTTGTAGTTCACAACTTTTTTATTTGAATTCGTTTAGGGCCTCAAACAAACAATTTACACTCAGTTTAGTATAATATATTGGGAACTAAAACGGAATCTAAACACAAGTGACAGTGTGGTGTAGTGGTAAAGGAGGTTTGTGTGTAGCAGGAGGTCTCGGGTTAGAATCCCGTTGGCCGCATAGCCGTGAAATTTTTGCGAAAAAAGCCGGAGATGGATGGGCGCTGACCGGTGGGGGCCTCCATCAATTAAAAAAAAATTTACATTTTTTTTGATAAAAATTCTCATTTTTTTCGGTTCCAACTTTGCCGAGTGTCCGCCCTTTGCCGAGTGTCCGGCACTCGACAAAGCCTTTGCCGAGTGCCCGACAAAAAACACTCGGCAAAGACGTCTTTGCCGAGTCATTTTTTACCGAGTGTAATTCGCCGAGTGTTTTATGCCTTTTGCCGAGTGTTTGGGACACTCGGCAAACTCAAGGAGTCCGGTAATGTATTGTTCTAGGACCAAACGAGATTTATTCTATAAAAATAATGACTATGATATAATCCTATAATAATATCTTTTTTCTTTAACATGACGAATGTAATGTTACCTATTTAGTATGGTAAACCTTAATATTTTCTTTTACAAATTTAGTCAAACTTGACACACTTTAATATACTATTATTTTAAAATTATATCCTGTAGAAAACAGCACATATATTTGCAGTAATAAAAAGCAAAGATGATACTTTACTTTTGCTGTGGAGGACAGCCGGATGTAAGGCATTCTGTCCAAGTGGGCCCGAGTAGGACAGCTCCTGGTCGTGAGAAATCAGCTCAAAAGCAATAGAGCTGTGATGCAGCGACACGGCCAGGTACAACGGCGAAGTGCCGTCCCTGGCAACCACACGGGCCAGCTCCTTGTCGTGGTACATGAACGCCTTGACCATGCACAGACCCGTCTTGCGGCCAAAGCGGACCGCCTCGTGCAGGGCCGTCTCCCCGCGCTTGTTCGTCATCCTCAGCATCGTCTTCCTCTCGTCGCAGCCGTTGGCCTGCTGGATCAAGAGGGAGGCCATCTCAGCGTTGCCCGCGCGCACGGCGCAGTGCAGCGGCGTGTCTCCGTTGCCGTCGCACGCGAGCAGCAGCTCGGGGGCCTTGCGGCAGATGAGCCGTGCCAGGTCCAGGTACCCCTGGCGGTCCCCACTGGCCGCCACCACATGGAGTGCGGAGGCCCCGTCGGTCGCGGCAGCTGGCATGCACAGCGCCGCGGCGGCGGCGGCCTCCTCCACGTGAATGTCGACGACGTCGCGGGCCAACGCAGCCAGCCGCGCTGATCCCCCGACTTGTTCGCTGAGAAATTGCTCTAGCAGCAGCAGGTCACCGGAGCTTGCTGCCCTGAGGAGCTCAGGTCGCCTGACCACGGTGAGATCTTGCACACGTTCCTGGCTGAGTGGCGGCCTATTACTTGGCTCCATCGATCAAGTAATATATACTCACACAGGCACACAGCCACTTGGACTAACGATGGTTTTGGATGTGGTGGTGGCGATATATGCCAGAGCCCTCAGTTCATCGGGACCTAGATGATAGTGAACACAAGGATTATATATATAGGTAGGGCTGGTGAGCTGGCTATAGTCTTGTCGTTCAAGATTTAGGGTCTGATTAGTTGCTTGCATTAATTTACATATATCTAGACTTGTTCAGCGTAGATTGTTAGTGTTTGGTCTGCAGAGATTCTTTTTTCTCGAATACGTAAAAGATTTGCACATCTTTGTATTAAGATCGAGAAATAGTGAATGTTACAACGACGTACCACGAACATGGCACTATAGAGGGAAGTGTTATACAATCGGCTCTGTCCTCCCTAGCAGAAGGTGATCATAGGCTATTACTCGTTAATCACGCTATCTAGCTATCTCCGGCGATCAGATGCGCCGCCTTGTCTGCAGAGATTCTTATACAGACTTGCACAATGTTCAAACCAGATCATTACAGTATTACTTGAAATATCATATATGGCCGTATTATTTGCACAAGCATGTGGGCAGGGCCGGAGGCGAAAGACCCTCCACACACACACACACACCTCCCCCCAACCCCATGCCCTGGCAGCAGTAGCTTATCCTAGTTTTGGTAGCCTATAATCTCATGGATAGTTTTTGTAATTAACCCCTGCTGACTTTGGTTCACCGCCTGCTACTGCCTGTGGGCACACCAAAAATAAAACATTCCTACATCCTTTACTTCTGCTAGAAACATAAGACCTCCAGCAGAATACGAAGGTGACTAAATGTAGCATATTGTGCAAGACAGCTAAAACACAAAGGCACTATATAAGTAAATATTGGCTTAGATTGGACTATTTAAATACTGATGCATGCTAAGGCCCCGTTTGACACACGTCCGTTTTGCTACCAGTGAAGCAGCTTTTCTTTGTTTTACTCTACGAACAGCTATACACAGGTAGAGCTAAAGTTGTTTTATGAACTGTTTAGCAAAACAATTATACATGTAAACTCTTTAAAATATGTTCTCATAGAATCATATACAGGAGCCCCATAGCGACTTGAAGTTGAGAGAAGCAGTTATTTTTAGCTTCATCTCACGTCAATTCTTTATGAGAGTACCTTTTAAAACTCTTCCCATATAAAACCGTTTTAAATACTCGTTTAGCATAAAGCAGCTTGAGCTGTAACAAACGGGGCTAAACCTAATACAAACGATCAATCATATGCTTAGAGCATCTATTCTTTGCGTGCATATATTAACCTGCAGGCTGCAGCCCCATGGCGCGATCTTTGCGTGTCTCTCGGTGCCCGCCATTACGTCTCTTAGGACACTTTATCTGATTATTATTGGAACCTACCGGACAGAACTTATCCTATGCGTGCCGAGGTGGTTTTCCTTTTGGACATTCTGATTTATAATCTGAGCAGTGCCGTGAAGCAAATGTTGGTTCCCGGGGACCGAGCAGTGCCGTGCTCGGATGGTGAGCTCTCTGTGGAGGCCACCGGTCCTGAGTTCGAGCCCTGCTCGCTCAGTAATTTTCTATCGTGGGGATTTATTTTCAAAAAATAATCTTGTAGGTCCTGAATACTCGGCATTGCGTATATATAATGGGACTTCTGACGTATCCGTCTGAGCACGCTGGTAAATCTGAGTTCCTTGCGTGTGCAAAGACCATTCTCCGCGGTGATTACGTTGAAGGATGTTTGAGGTGTGGGCATCGCGTCGGCGGGGTGGTGCAACCTTCTGCGACGTCGGGTGCTCCCGCTTCGATGGCGTGGTTGTAGCTTCTAAAGTGTGTTGCTTGTGCGTGTGTGTGCAAAGCGCACCGTGTCGATCTCCTTCGGCTTAGTGTGGTGTGGCGGTCGGCACCCACCGCCGCCGAGGTGAGTGTGTTGTGTAAAGTATAGATAGGCTAGGAGTCTATGCTAAAAATTTTTTTTGGTTCCCTACAGGTACGATTGTGCTGAGTCTTTCCTGGTCAGTCAGGGCCCCACAATGGTGAACTGGTACTGTGCAAATCGTAACAACATAAATGATGTTTGGTTGGCTCATTTTGTGGCGCGATCAAATCACACCACCAACCAATTACATAGTTATTGTTTGTTTCGCGTACAATGTAATCAGATGACACGGGAATAGATACGGATGTTCAGTGCGCCGATAAACGTCCAACCGTAGGCGGCGTAACGATGCTCCAGTTCCTGCAGTCCACCGGCACATAGCTACGTCGTCCACAACAAGGCAGCACCATACGATTTCTACAACGGACGCCACCATGACGACCACCAGGGCCTCGACGGCGCACCACGACTACAACGCTGCTGCTGCGCGCGGCTCCGGCGGTCATGTCAGTTGTGGCAGTCACTCTCTCGCGTCCTGCCACCACGGCAACTCGAGCAGAGGATGCAGGGAGAGGAGGTGTGTAATGATTGAGAAGACTATGGATTAAAAAAAACTACATTGTGGAAGATAGTTTCTTCGTACAGTATCAAGGATATAGAAACTACTTCCTGATTTCTATATTGTAAGTGCCCTAGTGCTCGTGCTCGTGTCCGGTAAATCCATGGCGCGAAAATAATTAACCACTCTTCCTGTTACCACACCTGTACCAAACAAAAAAAAAGTAATCACTGATTCTCTTTTCACTGTCGTCGTGGAACCATTCCCTGTGCTTTAACATTGTCTTTGTAGAACCAAACATCACCGTAGCGTTTTTCATTTTAATACTTCAGTGGCTGCGCATTGCTACAGGCAAAATAAAATCTATGTTATATTATTACCACATGATCACCTAGACTGAGTTTGATCGGCCAGTATCACGTGTTGCTAAAAAGGGGAACTGCTATTTAGGAGCCTTTTGACAGCGCTCTAGCTGCTTCTCCATGAGAATTACCTCTTTGCCAAATAATATCTTGAGCTGCTTCTGTACAGTTTTAATCAAAATTAGACAAGAACCACTTTCCCATTTATATGAGCTAAGAAAGCCTCCTTCTCATAGCTCTTTATTCAATCCTCACTAGAACCACTCCAAAATCAATTCTCGTCCTACTCTATGCTCGGCATCTCTCCACCAGAATCGATTAGAATAACTCCATTAAAAAATCAAGAAGATGGGGCTAAAAATCATGGAGTGGAGCTATACCAAACAAACCCTTAATAGGCTCTTTTTTTTCTAGTTCTCTCAAGTGTCCAACTGGAGATGTTGGATCTAGATCATCTAGCTACCATGTCGTCATCAACCTTGCGTCATCGTCTACCTACAACACTCGCCCTTGCCTCTCGCTGGCCTACCCTGCCCATAGTGACTTGTCAACACCGCAACTAGCCCTACTGCCCCCCACCATGCTAACCTGGTGCCATCGGACCATCCTCCACCATACCTGCCATCCTCCACCTTCGACAGCCAACGGCGGCCACGCTGCTATGCCTCCACACCTACCTCCTTCACCTGTCCGACCTGCTTCCCCAAGCCCTTTTCTAGGCCGGGGCGGGGGCACGATTCCTCTCCAATAATAACCCCCAACTCAAACCATGTCACTAGAGAAGCTATTGAGAAATTCAGGCACTTCTCAAAAAGTACTATTTATGATGTGTATTTAGTTCACTAACTGTGATCATAGTCTGGTTATAGGGAGTATGATAAAAACTTGATGATATTTTTAGACCATGAAAAATACCTCCAAGTTTCTAAAAATTCAGAGAAAAATTATAAAGATAGATGGGGACATGAAAATCTAAAATAAAATATTTAGAGCTCGTGAAAATATCTCTAGAAGCTATTGATTCAAAAATATCTCTAGAAGCTTTAAAATATAGTTAACTCTAGAAAACAAGAAAAATATCTCAAAAAATCCGAAAAACTCCCAAAACATTATAATAGATTTCTAAACAAGTTTTAAAACCTCACAATATGAGAAATAACCGGTATGAATGCAACATACATTAATATTAAATGTATCAACTCTAAGCATTCATACTGGTTGAGTCTTATGTTTTTGTTGTGAAAAGTTTTGAAAACATGTTTGATGTTGATTATAATTTTTGGGAATTTTCTAGATTTTTGGATATTTTCCAATTTTCTAGAGCTAAATCTGCCTTTTTGGAAGCTTATAAGATTTGTAAAATGTTTGTTTTCCGGTCTACCTATAAATTTTTATTGGAACTTTTAGACGCTTAGACATTTTCTATGGTCTCAAAACTTTATCAAATATTTTCTGATTTTTTTTCAAAAAAGATTAAACCATCTCCAAAACCACTTCAAATCATGGAAGAAAGATAATTTCAATAATTTTAAAAGTTTAGGGTGTAAAATGTCTAGTTTTAGAGTTGAAGAGAAAACCTATCACTTGTGGGCCTAGGCATGGGCGTGTAGTGCTTACGTCGTGTCATAGAGTGGGTGGTTCTCCCTTCAGACCAATCGGCCCCTCTTTCCCAGCTAGGGCATCCTCAAAGGGTGTCAAAGTCGCTGGCTGAGTAGGCTGTAGTAGGTTCGGACTGTTGTGGAGGGGAGGGAATGCGAAAAAAAGAAAACCGATATCAATTTGTTCGGTGCTAGTGCGGAGTAGGTGAAAGCGACATGTGATGGGTCCATGCTGTTTTGGACTCGACCTACCAATCGAAAGCGTCTATGAGAAAAATGTGAATTCATTAATTAATTTTAACATGTGTTGCCACATCGGAGAGGTCCATATTAGCTGTCGAACTTTATAGCACCGCCGTGGACACCCTTAGGCCAGTCTCAATGAGGTTTCATAGGAGTTTCATTCTCATTAAATAACATGACACATCAGCAAATCTGCTTATGTGGCGAAATATTTATAAAGAGAGAAAATGAAAGAGTTTTATCTGTATGAAACTCGGGCAATGAAACTCGATGAAACGTGCATTGAGAGCGACGGGTTTCAATCTCCGGTGCTCGCGCGGATCTTCTGTCGCGCGCGTCGACGCGTTGTCTCCTTTTCGGCCCCGCAGTTCACATGCCGTGTACGTACGTATCTGATTTTGCAAGAGGCACGGCACGGGACTAGCACCTGACGGGACGGGACAGGACGGTGCATGCAGTAAAGTTTCTCCTTGTGTCGCGTACGTGAATACATGTATATGAACACAATAATATTTCTAGCTTACATGTAGTGCGAATTGGGATTTGTAACCATTTTAATATATGCGCATGCCCTCATGAATATTGGATTATTTAATATATTTTATTTTACATGATTATTTGTTGGCATGCAATATATTGTAGTTACCAAAGTGGCTATATTTAACTTAAATATATTTTCAAATGGCTACATAGTTTATAGGGTACATAGGATCACAACATCATGCATACATTAAATGTCACAGTTTGTTTTGAAAACAGTGAAATGAAACCCTCCACTGAGAGAGCCAGTTTCATTTCTCAATTCAAGTCTGCAAAGCTGACGTGGCAGTCTTAAAAATTAGTAAATGAAACCCACCACCGCTAAGACATGCCTTAGTAGGTGCCCTCGCTGGCACAGTTGCACATGTTCTCAGATGAGCCAAAAGAGAGAAAAAGCCTACGGTCAATTATCTTGAGCAGTACTATCTCTATTTTTGAATTATTTTGTCTCTTCTAGGTACAAACATTGGCTATGTACATAGATAAAACAATATATTAAAAAATCAAAATATTTGGTAATTTGCAATGATGGGAGTACCTTTTCGGTTGGCATTATCTTGTGTTGGTCTTATTGGGCTGAGAACAGAAGCTCATGTCCCACTTCTCTGATTCTCTCCGTTGTTGCTGAATGAAGTGTTGGATAAGAAATCACACAAACATCGAAGTCTGAACGCAAGTCAAAGTTGTATTCATTTTATGATTGTACTGTACATGTCAGACGAGGTATTTATAGGGCCCTAGTCTTCGTTCTTTACGTAAAATAACCATTTTACCTCTAACTTAAATCTTTACAACCATTTGTAACTACAATGGTCATGTGGTCATTTTACACTTCTTCGGTCTTCGTTCTTCTATTTGGTCGTCATTCTTCCAGGAATCTTCTACTTTTGACTTAGTCGATTCTTGCTTTGCTTCTCTTTGTCTTCGTTAGCCAGCAAAGTCAAATCCTTGATAGCGAAGTTAAACTTTTGTCATCGCTTTACTCCTGATCTCTCTTCCATTCCGGCGAAGTCGATTCTTTTTATACGAAGTTGAAATATCATCTTCGCTCTCCTTTTTCCTGCAGACAAATTTCTTTATGGAAACTTAAAGATTTAACTCCAAAGTCCGGGGCTGTGTTTCGTGACGAAGTTAAATTCCCAACATGAAGCCTCACGTGACCTATTCTTATCAGTTGGCGCAAAAAAAATGGGGCGCAAAAAAAAGACCTATTCTTATCAATCACTGAAACCACAAATTCACTGTTTGACATGTAAAAAAAACTCGATCTGTGGTGGCTAGACAGCCCCTGGGTATTCCGGTTTAAGAAAAAAATCTTCTCACGCAGATCAAGAAAACCCCCGAATTCCTGCTCCACCCATACACAATGGTATGAAATGTCATTTATTATATTAAGTTCATGAACTTTTATACAAAATATATTTAGGCGCCTCGATGTTCTTAAATGAAAACATTTTTAACGACAGAGTTTTACGTCTCACCGATCACTACATCTAATCTAAAGGATTAGTAACTTGTGCTTTACAAGCTTGGATATATGGGCTAATATACAACCTTAATACCACGCTCACTTCGGATTATGAACTCGTGCACTTGAACAATAGTTATATATCGTCTTAATACTAAGATAGCAGCAGTTGCATTGACAATGTGGAAAATTTCCCGGAGAAACTTTTCTGAAAAACAGAAACCCACACCACATCCGTAGCCCGCAGAAGCCCAGCCACGGCGCGCGTTAGCTGGGCCTGGAATATTCGACGCGCTTGACCTTGACGAGGCCCATCTATCCGTTGCACACCCCTCCGCGGAAGCCATAGCCTGGCCCTGGCGCGGCGGCCCCAAATCCAGGCGACCACACGCCGACGCCACTGGCTCCCCCCTCCGCTCCCAAAGCCCAGCCACGGCGCGCATGGCGGCTGCAGCCGCGCTCCGCTGCTGCTTCCCCGGCTCAGCAATCGGTAGTGGCTTCGTCAGGTCCTCTTCCTCAAGGCGGGGCCGAAGCGCAGCGGCCGTAGCGGCGCCGTCGCGGGAGGCAGATCCGGCCGCTTCGCTAGGGGACCGTACCCGCGTCGACTTCCCCATCCTCCACCAGGTCACTCCTCCCTCCATCTCCGTTTCATCCGGCTGATTCTTGGGATACAGTTAAAACAACCTCAAACTTAGCAGTTGCATATCATTTCCGAACTTCTAACTGCTTACAAGCCGTAAGTTTTTTTTTTTTTTGGTGGGTGAAAATGCAATCATGCTTACGACTTGCATTCTATTGCTATAAATTAAGGAGTTTGCATTTCTGGTTACCACAGTGTATTGCAGTTTTTGTTCCCTTTTTTGAATCATCGTCATAGGTCTTGGTCGGGGCCGGTCCTGAGGATTTGGGCGCCTAGAGCGAAACTATAGAGTGAGACCCCTTAAAAATAGACATTATAATATATAATAGTAACATATGCATATGAAATGTTACCGATAAACACATATAAAATCAATATTCATATCAAGCAATTTAATATTCATTGGTAAATAATGTTTGTGCGCAGATGGGTGCAGGGGTTCACGGTGTTTTAATTTGGCATTTAGGATATAACAAATAATGAGATCGAATAAACAGCAAAAAGTAGGAATAGCGTGGATAAAGCCACGTTGTACAAGCACATACATGAGCAAACTGTGTGCCTGGGATCAGCTACTATACAAGCACAGGCACATATATAAAGGCTGAGAAATTATACAAGCAGAAACGCACATTTTTTTAAAAAAGACACATGTATACAGGTGTGTAGTATTAATAGAAAATGTTTCCTTGGATGTTCCCCTCTCAACACCATATAATCAATGCTACAGTAGAAGAGGGCATATGCACGCGCAAGAGTAAGACACAAAGCAGGATAAAAGCTGGGCTGCCATTGCACCTAGCCAGGCGGTAGGCATGACAGCTGCTAGAGTCCAGCACCCAATGAGACAGCCACAAGGTCAAGCCAAGCAGGCCACATACAGGATCTGCATCGAATGTCTGCAAAAAAAAAGTGTTAGAGACATCCAGAAGCGTTGGATACATTATCCTGTTAGCCGCTGGGACATCGAGAGGTATCAGACATGCTAGAGCTGGGTCTAACGGAAACAGGGGAGAAGCGTTGGAGACGATGAGGAGTTGAGGACCAGAGCCTTCTTGTCTCAGGCAGCTGGGGTAGCGCATCTGATTTCCAAGGAAATTGAGAGCACCAGAGAGAAGAGGATGAGGGCGACCGATTCTCTAGTCCCAGGTGGGAGATGATTACCTATGGCAAGGACTTTCAGGCAGCAGCGGCACCTCCGTGACAGCAAGAACAGAGAAAATAATGAGAGGAATGAGAGGCAGTGGTGGTTCCTAGCTGTGTGCGGTGTGCTTGTGTGGGGACTTAGAAGGGTTAGGGAAAGTCATGTTAGGCTGAGTGGGCCCGAACATGACATCCTAATAGCATTTATCTTTCTTTATTCCTTCTTTTATTTTTCTTATCTCTGCTTTTTAATAAACCCTATAATGTGTGATTGCAAACCTCATACTGAACAGATCGTCCCAAGCCATCGCCCTGAAAATAGTTGGTTCATGTGCCAAGTTTCAAACCATCATCCCAAAGAGGTATACCTCCCCACCTTCGTACCAGGAACTTATAGAAGGTGTCAATCCACATCCCTCGTACCTTTTCCTCGACCCTGTCATATGGGGAACCTTGTGACACTGGGTGTGAGTTTTTGTAGCCCATTGTTTGTCTGGTGCATGTATCAATGCTGCCGTGTGGATTTCCATCAGATTGGCCCCATTTGTGAGCCTGGTTATGTATTTCTTATTTTGATCACATTTTATTCCATAAATCACAAGTTAGGTCCATTTTTAATTGCTTCTTTTTTACAGTTATTTCAGTCAATGCAGCTGATGAACAACAACAATTGTTTTCTGTTACCTGTGATTCTATATTGCAAATAATAGCCTTAAGTCTGTTTAATACTAGCTTGGTAGACTGTGATCATTTATTACCATTGAAACTTGCAGGAATTTGATGGTGCCAAATTAGTTTACTTTGACAATGGTGCAACATCACAGAAACCTTTTAGTGTAATGAAAACATTAGATGAGTACTACCGATCGTACAATTCAAATGTGCATCGTGGTATTCATGCACTCAGGTAACTAAATACATATTTATGTAATTTCTTGATGCATGAACCAAAACTTTAAAATTCATGTTAATACTATCTTGAAATGTGTATTCACCGTTACCAGCGTCACTAATGTTAAAATCCAGGATATATGCTCTGCAGGACTTGCTCTGTTGTTTTTATTTCATTCTGTTAAGCTCTCCTATGTGCATTCTTCCTATACCAATTGTCGATTATATATCTATAGAATCATGTGATAACCTGAAATTTGATGATCTTAGCTTTTTCAGTAATATGTGCAAAATAATTCAACGAATGCTCTGTTGATGTCCATATTATATTATTATCATTTGGTCAATGTGCCTGCATTCATCTTTTGTTTGAGTTTTTGGTGTTTGTGCATCTACCAATGTATTTGTACACTAGATGTACCTTAACTGACTTGCTTATTTCATTTGGCAACAGCACAAAGGCTACCGATGCATATGAAGGTGCCAGAAGAAAAGTTGCAAGTTTCGTCAATGCAGCTGATAGCAGAGAGATAGTTTTCACTCGTAATGCTACAGAAGCTATCAATTTGGTAGCATATTCATGGGGCCTATCTAATATAAAACAAGGAGATGAGGTGACTCATGTATTTTTTGCCACCGATACATTATGTTTTACTAGTTCACTGTACCTACTGCTTATGTTCATAGCTTCCTATAAAATTTATGTAACTGAAAAATGAAAATAGTGCTTTTGTCAGTGTTTTGGCTTTTCACAGGCATCTATGAAAAATAAAATCTTTTATAATTCTTTTGCAGTCTGTTATTATGTCCATCTAATGAATGCTAGAGATAAATGTCAGTTTGTTGAATAAAAATTGTATCAAGCTGTATGATCTGGTTTATGTTCTTGGGGAACATGCAGTCTTTCTTTTACTTCTTGGTAAGAACCTTTCTCTCCTATTTTGTTGGCCAGATTGTTCTTACAGTTGCGGAGCATCATAGTGCCATTGTTCCATGGCAAATTGTTTCCCAGAAGACTGGTGCCACTTTAAAGTATGTTGGGCTGACTAAAGAAGAGGTTCCGGACATTGAACAGTTAAAAGCTCTTCTTTCAAACAAGACAAAGATAGTTGTTGTCCATCATGTCTCAAATGTACTTGGTAAGTCATTTTTTATTTGAAAGGAAAATTGGATGTTAGTGGGAGACTTCAACTTCTACAGATCACTCTCTGATAGAAATGAAAGTGGTGGTAACATTAATGACATCATGATCTTTAATGAAATAATCAGCAATTTGGGCTTGTTAGAGATCCCACTCAAAGAAAGGAAATTTTCTTGGAGTAACGTGCAAAGGGTGTGTTTGGTTTGTGGAGTCACCCCATGCTTCATGAGGTGATGCGTCATGAGTTCATCTCATGAATTTTAGTGGAATCAACCCATTCCTCATGCATATACTAATTAGCTTGTGGGGAATGAGGTGGTGATAGATCAACTCATGCCATTCCACAAACCAAATAAAAAAGTGAGTGAGAAGAAGATGGAACACCTTATTCCTCAAACCAAACACAACCAAAGTGAACCACTCCTAGAGCAAATTGATTGGGTTTTCACTTCAGTAAACTGGATCAGTGTCTACCCAAATACTCTTCTCCTTCCAATGGCCAGACCAACCTCAGAACACATCCCCTGCAAAATTCAAATTGGTCCATTCCAAAAGCCAAAATTTTCAGATGAAAATTTTTGGATTGAGCACCCTGTTTTTTTTATACTGTTAGATCCCACTGACAGATGGATTAATTGGACCCATAGAGTCCTTGCCTCTAGGTCCTCTTCTATTTTGTTGAATGGCGTCCTGGCAGTCACTTTCACTGCAAGCGCGATGTCAAACAAGGTGACCCTTTGTCTCCCCTGTTATTTGTCCTTGCGGCTGATCTCCTGCAATGCATCATCAACAAAGGGTTCCAAGATGGCCTTTTTGAGCTCCCCATTCCCTCATATGATTTAGCTCATTTCCCATTGTCCAGTATGCAGATGACACACTCTTGATCATGAAAGCCTCTCAACGCGAACTCTTTACCTTGAAAGTCCTACTTGAATCCTTTGCACAATCAACTGGTTTGAGGATCAATTACAAGAAGTCTTGTTTGGCCCCTTTAAACCTCTCTGATGATAAGACCCAGCTCCTGGGCTCGTGTCTTTGGTTGCAAGCTTGAATCCTTGCCTTTCACTTATCTGGGTTTGCCCCTAGGCACCACCAAGCCAAGAGTCGAGCACTTTAGTTTCTTAATGAACAAAACTGGAAGGAAGCTCACTGCCACCTCCAACCTGCTGACTCATGCTGGAAGATTGCAGCTGGGAAACTCAGTTCTTTCCTCCCTGCCCACTTCTGCAATGTGTATGCTCCAAATCCCAGTGACTGTACTAGATTATATTGATAGAGCAAGAAGACATTGTCTCTGGAGAGGCTCAAACTGTGATGCCAAAATGAAGCCTTTAGTAGCCTGGAAGAAATGTTCCAAACCAAAAAGGAAAGAAGGCCTTGGAATAATTAACCTTAGAAGTCAAAATAATGCCCACATTCTCAAACACTTGGACAAGTTTTACAACAAGAAAGAAATCCCTTGGGTCAAACTCATGGAATGCCCACTATTCAAATGGACAAATCCCTCATGCTGTAACTGATAAGGGCTCCTTTTGGTGGAGAGATGTTCTAAAGCTCTGTGGTGTCTTCAGGGGAATTGCTACCTGCAAAATTGGAGATGGATCCACGGTACTTTGTTGGTCTAACCTCTGGAATGATAATATGATGCAACACAAGTACCCAAGACTATATTCATTCACCAAGAACAAAAACCCTTCAGTTGCTCAATTCTTGACGAACAACACTTTGAAAGCTCAGTTTTATTTGCCTATCTCTGTACAAGCTCTTCAGGAATATCAAAACCTCCAAGAGTACATTCAAACAATTCAAGTACATCCGGATTGCAAAGATTCTTGGCAGTACATCTGGGGAAACAATGCCTATACATCTTCTAGGTTCTACAATCTTCCCTACAAGAATGTCCAACCTCCTAACCCTTTCACCTGGATTTGGAATTCCAAGTGTTGTAACAAGCTCATAGTTTTCAGTTGGTTGCTTCTAATGGAAGGGAACAACTACAATTGTGTGCTCTGTAACTCTGTAACTGCAATGTTGAAGAGACGGCTTTCCATCTTTTCTTCAGTTGTCCCTTCAGTCAAGCATGTTGGCAACACATTGGCATCCATGGGAATCTTGCTGCGAGTTTCTCCCAGATGATAGTTCAAGGCAAGCAACATTTCTCGCGTTCCTTCTTCATGGAATTCTTCATCATTGGCGCCTGGCAAACCTGGAAACTAAGAAACAACTTTATCTTTGATTGTGGTCGCCCCTCTTTTGATTCATAGAGACAGGGGAGGCCTGTTCGCTGGTTGGTGCTGGTGCTGGTTTGGGCTGGCTGGTGCTGGTTTTTTGTGAGAGGAAAACACTGTTGGCTGGCTGGTTTGGGCTGGCTGAAACCAACAAGCGAACAGGCTGTAGTGACATAAAGAAACCAGCTTTCCTCTCCCCGCTGAGCCTCTTTGCTTAAGCTCCTGATCTTTCTTTTGCTTGGTTGTTGTACAATTTTGTTTTTGTTGTCTTCTCCCTCTTCTGTTTGTTGTACAATTGCATGTTTAGTGGTTCTTTTTCTTAATAAAAGCTTACAGTGGGGGCTTCCCTTGCTGTATTTACGGTTCAAAAAAAAAAGCTTTCATTATATTGTAGTAATGACAGAATTATGATTTGGATAGATGCAATTTGTAGTTTCTTTCATACGCAATTAAGCTGAAATGAAGCCTGATATGATGATTTTTATGTTGTATATCAGTAGGTCTTTTTTAGTTGTAGAGAAGCCAAGTTTCTGACAAATGTCTGTGATTGTATCCAACTTTAGTTTCTTGCTATTCCTATCGATTGATCTTGACGGCACAATTACTGAGTCTTATTCTACCACATTCCTTAATGATTTCCAGGTTCAATGCTTCCTATTGAGGACATTGTAACATGGTCAAAAAGAGTTGGAGCTAAGGTTCTTGTAGATGCTTGTCAAAGTGTTCCCCACATGCCAGTTGATGTTCAGAAGCTTGGTGCAGATTTTCTTGTAGCATCGTCACATAAGGTTTTCCTTATTAACCATCTGTTACTAATAAAACTTTTAGTAATGTTTGTATAGCCCGATAATTGACCATCATAAATTATGTGCTAATTTTCTCAGATGTGTGGCCCTACAGGCGTTGGATTTATGCACAGCACATTTGAGATGTTGTCATCTATGGAGCCTTTCTTAGGTAAGATACTGCAAGATGGAAGGAGTTTTGTTCAGTCTCTGTTAGTGGGTAAATTCAGTAGTCAACATTTACTGCTGCAAGAGAGCTTTGTTAAGCCTCATTTATATATTTGCTATTTACTTAGCTTCATAATGCTGATTTTGCTGCAGGTGGTGGGGAAATGATTGCAGACGTGTTCAAAGACAAATCCACATATGCCGAACCTCCCTCTAGGTGACGAATTGTTTGCTTTGATCTTTCTAGATCTTCCGCTGGCTGCTATCATAGCTTCTGGAGAAAGTACAGGCAGAGTATCTATTATGATAAGTCACTACACAACAGGGCACAATAATGCAGTCATTATAACATTGCCATGGCTAATAGTTTTTTGGATGGTGTTCAATCAGACACACAGTCCAAATACTAAACATCACATCCCACAGAAGTTTCTAATCAGAGATAGATTGATTTTGCTTTGATCTGAGCTAATGTTCTTCAGGTATTGAATTTGTGTGTTCTCATTTTGATATGGCACACCTTGAAAACTACTGGATGGTAACATGTACCAGAATTATTAGCAAGCGACACATCGTTATTGTAATTTTTTTATGTCTCCCCTTGTTTTCTTATGTTTGTTGTTCCCTTGCTTACTGTATGGTCTGAAAAGATTTGAGGCTGGAACTCCTGCAATTGGAGAAGCTATAGGATTGG